GCTACACGCTGTCCGCGGGGGTCCGGGCCGGGTGAGGGGGTGCTGAGGCCCGTGTGTTCGACTTCAGCTCCAGTGCAGTAGAAAAGACGTCGTATAGCGCAGTTCCGAGCCGGTCCCGGCAGTCTGAGCTTGTCAGTTAACTTATGGGAGCAGAGTGCTGGCCCCATGCCGGTGTGTAGTGCATGGAAGAAGCATGTACAGGTTGCTCCCCTCCCTGAGGGATAATAGTTTCCCTCGGGGATGTCAGGAGTACTTTTAAGTACTTCAGAGATTCGTTTGCTGACAAGGCATTTCTGCTGTGTTTATTGAGGGCTCTTTCTTTCTCATTTCTAAAAACCTACTCCCTTCAAGGAGTTCAACATGGAAGAGTTTAAAGATGCAAGTTCACCTGAAGAATTACTTGATCACTTAAAGCTTTCCGATCAGAAGAGTTCAGAGACTGGCCCCAAAGATGCACAGAGTCCCCAAAACATTGAAAGTGGATACACAGCATCTTCAGCCAAAGATCTCACAACAGCAGACGAGTGTTTCCATGACTGTCACGACTCCTTTGAGGCAAAAGAGCCTGTGCTGGATGATGAAGGGAATTTACAGAATGATGAGACTAGCTCAAGGAAGCAGACAGAACTAGATGAAGAATACTTGCTAGAACTAGAAAAAGATATGCCAGAGGAAGAAAAACAGGTAATCCAACGTTCCCATGTTGAATGTAAAAAGATATATTTTGAGTGTCATGTTTCTGAATGGTCTGTGACTGGCCAGAACATGGACCTTTAAAACACTTATGTGTCTAGTTTTACTGTTCGTAATTCCTTCTTTTAGCTAGTAAACATTTTGTTAGCTTTTCTTGCTGTTCTTAATCATCACATTCCGTTGCAGATTTTTGTCTACTTTCAGCAGTGTGTCGAGTTACTGTGTCTCAAAAGAGATTGTAAGAAACAAAAATCCCCATGTTACATGTTCTTTAGTTTGTGTGCATTCGTTGTTTTCACCTGATCAGCTGCAGGGTGCTTTTCCAAAACTCAGAGCAAGTTTTGGGATAATTTTCTTATCTGAAAGGCTGGATCGTGTAATACAACTAATATGGATTAAAGCTGAAAGTATCCCTATAGTTTACTTAAGCTTTAATCAAACACAAGGCATGAGATGTCTGCATTTGTTTACCTTCAGTGTGGTTACATTGGGCAAAATATTTGGTTAACAAACTGGATAATGTTGTGAGGAATAATAAATAAGTTATTGGAAGAAGTCCAATAGCCTCTGTAATGATGTTTACTCCCCTGTAAGACTGTGTGAACCAGTTTTTTTGCTCCTCAGCCAGCGGTGTCAGTTGCCAGCAGTTAGTTTCAAGGTTCTAAGATATTATGGTCATAAAGTAGCTAGAAAAAAAATATAGAGAGTTGTGGGGTTTTTTCCTAACTTGGAGAAAACTTGTTAAATCACTTCCAGCATTGAGTGATGGGGTGAATTTCTCCTGGTAATTATATTCTCATAGCAAATAGTGCAGAGCTTGCTACTTATTTGTGGAATTTTTTTTTCCCTAATTTTTTTCAGCTTTAGTTTGCAGATAGTGTGAGAGTAAAGATATTAAACTGAAATCTGTGTCCCAACATATACAACTCTTGTAATTTTTTTTTTTTTAACACTGTTTTTGACAAGTTAAATAGCTTCAGAAACATCATGTTTCGAAGAACTGATCCAGCCTCTTAAAATCTGATGGAATTATTCAAACAAGCAGTTACTTGTACTGAAAATTGAAATAGTCACAAAAAGTACTACTATAGTCTCTGGCAGTTGGGGAAAAGATTCAATTCTGATGTACTGTAAATTATAGGAAGGGAAGACCTCAGCAAACTTTATTTAATAGTCCTGTAGGCATGGCTTGGATCTTACTTTACTAAAGGAAATGAAGTCCTTATTGGAAGGTAAGGTTTACAATTTGGATCACAGATAACACTGAATAACTAACTGATAGTGGTGGCAGAAGGAGAGAATGGAGTAAGGAATGGCAACTGACAAGAGAAGGTAGGCAGCATCTCAGGAAAGCATTACTTCATAGGGGAAGATAATATACTGTCTAGCTCTATAGTTTAAGTGCCTAAAATATGAATGTTTCAGTGAATTTATAGGGGCTTGTTACTCTTTTGTACAGACAGGCTTATCTTTCCTAATTCAACTGACTTAGTAAAGCTGGACCACACTTAGCCCTGACTGTGTTGTATAAGTAAATAAATGCTGGCTATACCTTGCCCAAAAAAGTTGGAAAGAGGGAAGGGCTTGGCAGTAACTTGACTACGCTGTGGTCTTACTGTCAGCTATTGTAAATAGGGAGTGAAGGGCACAAATATGCAGAGCTAAGATGCCACAGGTAACCAAACACAATTGTTTGTTATAAACCAGTATACAGAAATTTAATCAAGTGGTGGCTCAGATAGGTCCCTTGCTGGTAGGATGGGATTTCTGACCAAAATACATCAATGAATACAAAAAGGTAGTTTTTAATCTGTCATACAGATAGTTACGTTAATGTAGAAGTCTCTAGGAGAGATAGAAAAGAAATAAGGGACTAGTGGGTGAGGGAAACATGGAATATAATTCCCTTGAAGTAGGAATGAGTCTAAATGTAACACTTGTCTGCTGCTCGACCTTGTGGAAATCATTTTGTATCTATCTCAATTTTGGTATCTGTAAAATGGGCATAAGGATGCTGGCCAGTTGTAATACTTTGGGATCTAATAATCAATAACAGAAGGTGGGGGAGAAAAAGAGGTTATTGCATGCATCCTTTGCCCCAAAAGGACCTCTGGAGGTCATCTAGTCCAATGCCCTGCTCAAAGATAGATCAAATACATCAGCCTACCCAGAGCCACAAAGGCATCTCAGAGCCTGGGGGCTGCACAGCCTCTCTGGGCCCCAGTTCTAATGTTTAACTACCCTTGTTGGTAGAAACATTTTTTCTTTTTATTTAATTAGAACTGCCTCTGTTGCAACTTGTGACCACTGGCCTTTCTTTTTTACGCACGCCCATGTTTGTCTCCATTTTCTCTAGTAATGAAGTTTCCCTGAGCCACCTTTTCTTAAGGCTGAACAACTCAGTTCTCCCAGGCTGTCTGCTTAGGCCATGGTCTCCAGTGTCCTGACCATCCTGGGGGTCCTCCTCAGGACTCCTGGAAGTTGATGTCTTTGTATGGGGGCTCACCAAAACTGGGCACTTTGCTGAACACAGGGCAATAATAATTTTTCCTTGACCTACTCACTTCAGAGTAAAAACATTACATTGCTCTTTCATCTTTTCCAGTTTAAACTAAACAGACCTGTTTTCTACTTCTGTTTATTGCTTGTACAACAAGGAGGAGCACTGTCATCATGAGTCATGATGGGACTTCTACAGCAGCCTATTAACTTGAAGGCAGCTTGAGATTTTCATAGACAAAATGCTAAAAACTGAGAGGAAATTATGTCATAGAATTGAACTTTAGAAAAAGCAGCAGGACTGGAAACTGGGTGTCTTAGTTTTCATGTTGCTCTTGTTTGTTATATTAGGTAATCATTTTTGCACATCAATTTTTGCTTTCTGCAAAATGAGCAGAATTGTGACTGTTCAATACTTGCATTCAGCTTTGTGGAACTCCACTGAAAGGTGCTATGGGAGTACAAAATAATAACTGTATAAAGCTGGAAAGATTTCCTTAGAGAAAGTATTGAGACAGCTGCAGTTCTCATCTTTCTGTAGGTTTGTTTCCAGTGGTATTGAGCAATTGTGCCCTTCAGCTTGATTTATGGTTATACGTAATGAAATGGGGGGATTCCATCTCTTAATATCACTGTAACTATTAGACTGGGAATACTTACATTGTGAACTTTGTTTATGTTCCATAGAAAGCTTTCAGAGTAGATTATATAAATGATCTTTAACATACAGCTATTTTTTTATCTAACCAAATATTGTTGGTATCTCGTATAAGAAAAGCTTTAGAAATCCAGAAACTAGAGAGGAATTACAAGCTTACAACAGTTCTAACTATTGAAGTAGCCTATTTTCATGTTCTTATCCTGCATCACCTTACATGATCTGTGTAGTAAAACCATTATTCAGGGTTATTGCTGAATTGCCTCTCCAACATTCCTCATAGTATATGAAATAGATGTCTACACATTTTATTTTATTTTTAGCAGTGAAATGTTCTCTATATTTTGATTATGAAAAGAATCTGTTAAATGATGCAGCTTTTAAGAAAAAATACTGCAGTTACATTTTAAACCTCCTTCCAGTTACTCAAAAGGTCATTTTTGAGAAGGGCAACATGGTTTTCTTTTTTGTTTATTTGGTCGTTTGTGGGTTTTTTTGTTCTCAGCTGGAGGAAATGAGGCAGAAATATTCAGAACTTGTTTGTTTGACTCTCTAGGTTGTGCCCAGACACTCAGCAGCAGTGCTGTGTTTGCTACTTAGGCAGTCCTTGATCAGTTATTCTCAGCCCCCTGCTGCCTCTTTCATTGTGCAAGCACACCTCTGTGTGAATGTGCAGTGAACCACTTACAGGGAATGATTCAGATGAAAAATAATGCTGTATTTTTAGATCAAGGGCACTGCTGGTAAAAGTAGACATCAAATGGCAGCCTCGTGATGGCATACAGGGGTAGATGGATTTTCTTCAATTACACTACTTGCCTAAATAAGAACTTCCTATGAACTGTGGTTGCAGCACCAACCATAAACTATGTACTCATGTCATAAGGAAAGCTGGATTTTAGCCCTGCTCAGATCAAATTTATGGAGCTACACCTTAGCAGTTTGTGGTTTGTTTTTAAACTAAGCCCACTGTTATATTTTAGCAGCTTTATTAAATGGGTTTTTTTGAATGCTGTAGAAAAGAAGGTGTCTAATCTGGAGATGCAAAGACTGATTCTAGTCCTTGCTCTGTGTATTTATGCATATCCCATGTGCAAGCTTTCATGGTAGCAGCTCTGAGTAGAAATTATCACTGATGCAGAAGCTGTTCCAGAGATCAGAGAGGAAGCAAGCAGTTGTATATTTTCTCTCAATTATATTTCAAAAGCCCTATACAGTGAGATTTTTGATTTTAAGCAGCATGAATTACTTCCAGGGAAACAGTATTGATACCATAAGAAGTCTCTGCACAATGAAGCAAAATAAGAGCTTGAAGCAATATTAAGACACAAACCTGCAAGATGTATTCTTAAAACCAGATGTAGCATAGAGCCTGGTTACTTGCCTGGACTTGCAGCTCAGAGCTTTTTAAGAATTCAGCAGCCTGAAATAAAATTCACTTTTATAAGATCTTGTTGTTTTTAAAGCATGCTGGTTGCTGCCTCAGCAGAGGCGCTGAGCAGTAAATTGCTTTTGATGCATTACAGACAGATTTTTCTGGTTAGTTGTCATTGACAGTGATGGCTTTGACGTTGGTCTAGTCTGCAGAATTAATCAGAAGACACCCAACAGCTGCTACATGGTAATTGTTTCAGTCTGACCTGGTCCTCTTCTGGAGGAACACCCATTAATTATGAGTTTATCCAGCAGCAAGATTCTGAATCCCTCATGCTGTTCCATCATGACAGATGTTGTCTTGTTCTTTGGGCCTTAACTGTCAAAGATTTAAGCACCTGGCCTACTGAGCTCTTATTTTGGATATAGAACACTCCAGCTGCTGTAAGACCTTGGAATA